TATATATAAAACCTAAAAAAAAAATATTTTGTTTCATATCCTCCAGGTGCAAAACTTTTAAAGGCTTAGCAACATACATCAAGCAGCAACTGATTACAAAAATTGTAACTAGAAGAGATAATTGTTTACTTTACTTCTATATTTACTGTTCTATGTTTCAGAAAAAATAACTTGAATAAATAGAGTTGTTTAAACATTTGTTTAACAATAAGTAAAAGCTTGGAATAGTCTATTCTTTCATTGAGGTGTGTGTCTGTGAGCCAGACTAGTTTCAGAGAATTCCACTCCTCATTAGTGATCATGGACACTACCACCCATGAAATATCAAACCAAACCAAGCCTTTATAGTAGTGAGGTATCAAAAATTGAACTGGTGTATTTAAGTGTTTTACACTCAGAAAAAAAGAAACCTATCATTCTATAGGTATTTGAAGAACTTGTAGCATTTCACCACTTTTTTGTGAGTGTAAAACACTTAAATAAACCAGTTCGACTTTAAGAACTTATTTCAAAATAGCAATAATCTATATATACATATAATGTGTAATAATTGAAATGTCAATGTATTTTACAAAATACTAGTAGACTAAAACACAGCCAAAACAAGTTACTTTGTACAGACCAAAGGTCACCTTTATGTTATTTGATAGGGTAACATGAGTGCATGTGAGCCACGTCATTGTAACTTCTGTATTGTTAACCAAGCATGAGCAAAAGGTCAATATAAAGAAAAAAAATAATATATATATATATATATATATATGTAAATGGATAATGTTATGAGATTTAAGCTATTTCATCAAAACATTTATGTTTTCATGTCATAATTTATGTTCATTCTAGAATGAAAGATGCATAATTTATGTTTATTTCATAATTTTTTATGGTGGTTGCTTTTATCTGTTATTTTCAGTAATTAATCTCTGTACGGGTTGGTAAATTTGACCGATCTTGTTTTTCTTAAGAGACGTTTGATAACTATTTGGACATTATAAAGATTACACATGTGAAATTTCGAAATTTTCTGAGACATAAAAACATTTTTAATGTTAAGATGAAATTTACATGAAAAGGTATGAGAGAAACATTGCTTTAAAAACCTTAAGACTTAATAAAAAAATTAGATATTTTGAGTATGAAAGCATTGTAATGTGTACTGATAAACTACCAAATTTTGTTAACATTCACTTACTAATTTAAAAACTATAACAAGCACAAAATGGTTATGAGGTCGATCCCACGGACTAAACCTGGGTTGAAAGAGTTAAAAGCCTGCCAAATTTCATGAAGATACTGTTAAGTACTTCCAGTCATAGTATGTATACCACCATGGTCACATGGTGGTTAGAAGGTTGTGTAACATACATAAGCCCATTGTGATAGGGTTAAAGACAGAGAATGAAGA